TTATCCATCCCGAGAATAACGAATGGAATACAGATGATTTCTAATTCAATTAGGGTACTTATTTTTGACATTATCCAATACTGTGAAGTCTATGGAAATAAATGTATTGTATTGTATTGTATTGTAGATCAAGTAGGCAATCTTGAAGGCTCCCCTGATCAAAACAAAAATACTCAGCTGAGATGTTTATAATTCCGTTACTCAACTATAATGAGGTGTATTTATATCTCCAGCTTGGGTATGAAATGCCAAATCTGCCAAAATCGGACACAGATCAGGTATGCGTCCCAACCCAAATAACCAACCGTGACAATGTTGTTTATTCTTGATGACCTCTAGTACATTCTTTTCGTTCCTAGGAGCTGAAGTTCAACTTCAGCTCCTAGGAATTAAAGTTCAATTTTAGCTCCTAGGAACTGAATATGTTGCCTAGCAACATACCTTTTTTGTGTCAGAAATAGAAAAGTCAATTCAAGAGCAACTTTAGCTCCTAGGAACTAAATAAGTTGCCTAACAACATACCTTTTCTTGTAGCAGTAATAAAAACGTCAATTCAAGAGCTGATTCTGGTATTGAAATAGAGGACTCATTCTGTGTCGATTGCAGAAAAGAATTCATTTACAGCATGGAGGGTCGTTATTTTAGTATCAAGTTCGGAATAATATTCCATGGCATATTAAATCTCTATACGGTGTTATTTGCTTCTCATAATTGTCATAATAGCTATCCCGGTTTTCTTTGTCCCGGGTAAAATCTTTGCGGCAAGAGTTGTAGTCCGGTTGGGCCCGAGGAAGTAATAATCCGGGCTATTGTGTGTCTCATCTGCGGATGAAATTGAATGTGGACCAGTGTTTGCTCCATTTTCATTTGTATTAATCGCATTTGTACAGGGTGGCTGGAATTCGAACCTCTTCATTGGGATCTCGTGAACCGTAGGAGATACAGGGTCGGTTGAATTATGGCAAAGTTGCGTGATTTTGAGCCTAACAAAATTCCGCTTCAAAATTTCGAAAAATTCTGAATACTGCCTACTACCCTGTCACTTAGGAGTTTCGAAATGTGTCAGTCACTGAAGAAACTGCTAGGTATCTGTAATCATTAATTATCAAAGCTTCATTACTCAACTTCTCGATGCATAACTTCGACATTACCAAAATAGCCTTCGTGACATGTCACAAAACTTTGATTTTGAATGATTTAATCATCCTGTACCTAAATTCGCATATTTGAAATTCAATTTTGTCAAGAACATTTCACAGCTGATTGTGAATTAGAAATATACAAGCATCTCAGTTCTTTGATGCCTTCATTTGCATTTTCTCGAAGTAATCCTGTTTCTTATATCGCCTCCAGCCTCCACACAAACAAAAAACCATGTCTGATCTTCTTACTAGTGCTATTTAATATTATTTATTAAACACACTTATTCTCTTTCACTTCTTTATCCTATATTCTTGGCGTCGCCTGGATATGTAATCTTATCCGAGTTTCTTTTTCTCCAACCGCACTGTCATAATAAATTAAAGCGATGTCGATGAAGATACAGTGTGGTTGTTGTGCCAGAATGGCCAAGAGATATTCTTTTTTTTTTTTCAAGGAACGTGTGAATGCACAAAGTATTCTCACTCTACCACCATTGACACTTGGGTCTGCGAAGTTTGCCTCATGAAATAGAATAGTCAGTATTGCCAAAACAGCCAGTTTTGAAAAAGACTAGATGATTAAATGGAAAAACTTCACGAGTGATAAGATTTCCACAAAACTCTTAAACACACAATATGTTTCGCTAACACAGTAGCACCAGAGATGTATAGAAATTTAACTGGTGGGCTTACTCTTCAATTGTTTCGTCAGACTAACTCTCGATATGGAACAATTGCAAGCGAGTTTTGGACGTGGGGTTCAGGTATTTGCGATAAAGGCGCCATAATCGGAAAATCGTTCAAAACCTTGGTTCTGTGAGGGATGAATCTATTTCCATCATTGTTCTGTGGTCGAATAAATACTGTGCTCAACATTTTCATTCAAATTTCAATTTGAAATAGAAGCAAGAAATCTTTTTCGTAGCCGATTTTAATAAGCTTCACTTCTTTCATGACATGAACCTATTTGAAGCATGAAATCTGATGAATTTCCTCTTTGAAGAACCAGAACAAAGAATGTATCAACTATTGGAATAGACCAATATCGAAAATCATAATACACAGATACAGAACTGGTACTCACCTTAGAAATTTATTCACACCAGTTCACGCTAAGACTACAAATCACTGAAATAATACTGTTGTAGAACAGAGATATTTTCTTTTTTCTATGGTGGATTAGGTATTATACACAAAATTTAGGAACTACGGAACACGTCCCTAACGAACACTTGACCCCAATCTCAGAAATAACCATTTTTTTAGCTCAAGAATATTTTTGGCATATTGACGTGTCGATCCTTTGATCAGGAATCAGTTCACTGCTCTGATCCAAACACGTCCAAATCATATACGTATCCAAATATTTATCGGTCGGTAATATGTTTCCTGTAAATATGGATTGTAACCAGAATGAGTTTAGCGAGATTTACCCACGTCAAGTATGTTTATCAAAGGTTTATCAGAGTAGGCGCCATCGAGAAACTTGCAAACGACCTTCAATAGGGAGCAAGCGCACCAGTTAAATTTCTATACATCTCTGTAGCACCAAACAGAAACAAACGAACTGTTTCTGTTCGGTGACAGTAGCTTCGTCAGGTGATATACTGGTACAATGAACTGAACCAACCTTGGCTTGCTTAAATTTTATTCATCCTACTTTCCCAACTTGAAGGATGAGTTACTTGTGGACAGGTTCGATAAAACAACATTTGCGGAAATAAGGCACAATATCTACATTAAAATATCATGTACCGAATTAACTTGAAAGGGTTGATAGCAAACACTATTATTATTTATTTTACATTATTACCTACAAAAAAACAAATTCAATAGTAATGAACTATTGATCGTTGAGTAAAATGTGAACATTTTTGAGTTTGTTGATTTCTAATGATTCAAAATGATTGAGTTTCATTCCTTTATTTTCTACGTGTGAAATTCCGAAATGATAATCAAAACTATTTTTTTTTTCTCATACATATATGGTTGGCGTGTGTTGAATTTGTTAACTTTTTCAAAACATTCATCTTATGTTCATGAATGCGCTGATTATGACATATCACTTAACGATCAATCAGACCTCAATAATTCACCACTGTTGAATTTGTTTTCTTAGTAGGTAATAATATGTCCTGCATTGAAATCGACACTACTATTTTCAAACAATCTAACCCTGATCGGCCTAAATGAACCTTCTTCTTAAACATTATATATTTCGGAAATAAACTTGGGAAACAGAATTTAAAAAAAAGTCGACCGTCGCAGGCATTGAACCTAGGTCGCCGACGTGGGATTCAAACGCACAGTCAACTACCCCACGAGTCATTGTAGTTGTGGTAGTATGAATAAAAAAGGAGAAATAAAAAATTGCTCATTCTAAATGACCTGTTCAGGCTAATGGAATAAAATTTCCAATAGAAGTAGCTCAAGCTACAAACCGCACCTTGGCAAAATATTGCATTTCTGTGCCTTGACGAATATTCTACTATTTTCTGCAACCCACACAAAAGTCGTCCATTTTAATACCAACGGAATTGACGTTTCTATAACTGACACAAAAATAGGTATATTGCTAGGCAACACATTAAGTTCCTAGGAGCTAAAGCTGAACTTCAGCTCCTAGGAACGAAAAAGGGTGTAGTAAAGGTCAACAGGAATAAACAATATTGTTAACGGTTGGTTATTTGGGTTGGGACGCATACCTGATTTGTTTCTGATTTCGGCAGATTTGGCATTTCATACCTATGCTGGAGATATAAATACACCATATTATAGTTGAGTATTTTTGTTCTGATTAGGAAAGCCTTCAAGATTCGCATACTTGCTTGATGTGTATTTCATTCGTTACTCTCGGGATGGATAACTCGTTTTTGAATAATCACGGCCTGCAATAGTTTTTTGTCTCAAACAATGATAATATTTATCTACATTTGATTATCCAGCCGAACACAGTGGAGTATAAAGAGGAGTAAATAATCGCTATTATTATCGTTGATATGCTCACTAACCTAAAATTGTCCACGTCTTGCTCCTATACCGGGCACTGGCGCGGTATTTGCCATTAAAGCACCTGGTCCATACACAAATATGTCACTTTATGGTTGTATCAATATTGAAACTACAATTCGAACATCTTCGAAAATTGAATAAGCTTGCTGTTAATGCAGGTAGAATATTCTTACCACGCGGATTATACATTTGCACGGCATTGGTGGGGACTTCATATATTTATTTGAGTTAATTGATTCGGTTGCAGAAAAAATAGCATGTTTCATTCGGATCAAAAGTGACCTTGTTTGACTCGCAAATTTTCCTTTCGCTCGGCTTCGCTAGACTCTCCGCTTTTCAAATGCAAAATTGGTTTGCCAAACAAAGTGTCCCTCTTGATCCTAATAAAACAATCTACTATTTTCCCCAAATGACATTAAAAGTGGATTTTGAATTACACTTAACAGGCATAGAAGGTGTTACGTTTACTGCCTAGGCAGAAAAAATTTGATGCTATGCAACGATTCAATTAATATGAATCAAATTGGTAATCACAATTGACAATGACTTTGGGTGAACAAAAAATGATAAATTATTTGGACTTTGCGTGAAATCGAAAAGAATTTGGAGAAAGAATTATATGTTTCACATGGTAAAGATGATGTAGTGGCTCGGTTGGTTTCCTAGCCTCGGCTACGCCGCGGCATTGAATCTTGTGTACTTTTCTGCCTAGTAAAACAAATTACTATGCTATACCGTTTGGTAAAACATAAAGATGCGAAGTTAATATCAGCACGTTAATAGAAATCGTCTCCGGATAGGTATAGGTATCAAGGTATCTAGTAATTATTTTTTTTTTGTTTTCAGGCGAGGAGAATTGTCCTTACGACTACATAAAAATCTACGACGGTAAAAACGAATTCAGCCCCGTTATAGGCACATTCTGCGGAATGGGCAAATTCCCCTACTCCATTATTGGCACATCGCAGGACCTTTTCGTGGAATTCGTGTCGTCGCCTGCGGGTGAGTTGGAGTTTTTCCTCGGAAAGTTGCAGGAGTTTGAGACGGAAAATTTTATGTTATCCTCGCATGCAGGAACTGTTGCGAGGACGTGTTTTTCTTTTAGTTACTTTTCGAGAAGTACACACGTACGTATGAGATTTGGAATGGCACTGCTTTGATCCGATTCCAGCAAAGCGAACTTTTTATAAAACTACTTACACCTAGGTAGGTAGGTGTGGTAGGTTTTGTCAGTTGTACGATGAATTTATGTTCATCATACAGAGCGTGGACGGAAATCCTGAATTGAGAAAACCCAATCATGAATCTGTGATCGTAGGCCTGTAAAAGCAAAACCCATTCACAATAGCTATTTGTGTATTTAGAGCGCAAAGTGATAGATTGCCGCTCGACAAAGAAAGTTACCGCGCGATGCGTAGCGGAGCGCGGTAATCTTTGGAGAGCGGCAATAACACTTTGTGCTCGAAATACACACAAGATTTTTTCTACTAACGCAGCTTTTGGAAATAATCACCCTGAAAGTATGAGCGATTGAAATAGTTGAAAAAGTTCTTATCCATATTAACCCATATGTCCAAAGGAAACAGAAAAGAAAAATTGAAATAACTGACAAGCCAGAAAAAAAAAGTTGGGCCTACCGAGAATTGAAACTGGACCACCAGCGTGGCAACCTGAGCTTCAGACCTCTGAGCCATAGTACGATAAAGTCTGCAATCAAATTGAACATTACTCATTGAAGCAATAAAATAACACTGTCTTTCTGATGACAACAAATAGTTTAAATATTGAGTATAATTCATCGTTTTCAACAGATATGCTTCATCGGGAGCCTCTTGTAGAAATTTGTGCGATAAGTTTCAGATACTTATTGATTCCGATATTATCATTAACATTCAAGCATGAATACGTACCATGGAATATAGACCAATGAGTTGATGACTTCAAAGTCTTCGATATTTTACCAAAATAAGCCAGTAAAACTTTTTCTGAATACATATTCACCATCTCGGAGTGGCACCAATTTATGAATGTATCATATTGTAATTCATATTTCTTTCTTGATTTCTCCGGTAAGATATTCAAACTCTTGCGCTTTCTGCTATATCAGGAGGTGTGTTTGATAATCCACTGTCACTATTTTCCATCATGAAAGAATTGGGGGTTTTCAAGAAATTGCCTGAAAAGTATTTGTTTTCTGTTGAATATGTCGAATGGTATTATCACCCTTTTTATCACCGGAGTCGATGAAAAAATTGAAAATCATTCGGACAGGTCGATTTGAATTTGTCGGGGGACGAATTTTTCTGTAACTACCATATCCAAAGTTGAAACCTTGAAGCGGAAAGGACATCAACTTCCGATTTTCAAATGGAACACCCTGAATTTTATTGCATCTTCAGATTCTTCTTGAAGAGCTGATTCCATATGATTGTATAACAACTTGGGGTCTAGCAGGAATGATTACAGAAACTATGTATTATCGGCCAAAACGGCTCACATGTCCCTATCCCAACTTTTGATTCAATATTTACTTATATCTATGCTTAATGCTTATATTTAATCGGAACAGATACAGGGAGATTAGAATTCTAAATCTTGAACCACCATGTATATGTTCCGATTAAATATCATTAAATAGTGAATCAAAAGTTGAGATTGGGACATGTGAGCCGCTTTGACCGATAAGAAATAGTTTCGACAAAAAAATCCTAAAATTGGAAAATCTCGATTTTGAACACCCTATATCTCTGTGATCATTCCCGCTAGACCCCAAGTATGATTGATGGAATCAGCAATTCAGAAAAAATCTGAAGATGCAATGAAATAAAGGGTGTTTCATTTGAAAATCCAGTATTTTCAAGGACTTCGGAGATAAGGGGGTGACAAGTTTCAGCTGGGACACACTGTATAAAATTATCCTGTCCCTTTCACAGTGTTAGTGTCCAAACTCCTTTGAAACGGCTTGGCTCATTCTCGTGATTTTTTTTGCATATTCGGTAGGTCTGAGAATCGGTCGTAAACTGTTTTTCAAATCGAAAATTCAAGATGACGGCCGAGTTTTGTTATCAGATTTTATTCAAAATTGGTATCTGGATCTGGGGCTTTTCGGGGTTGGAGATCATGATTATCTCGTCAAAATTTGTAAATTCATCATGGCGGATCCACTATGGAAGACGAGTTTTGTAATGATGGCCCGATTCTATTCAAAATTGGTATCTGGGGGGTTTTCGGAATCGGAGATTGTGATTCAGTTGTCAAAATTACGAAATTCGAAATGGAAAACCCAATATAGCGGACAAGTTTTGTAATTATGGACCGATTCTATTCAAAATTGGCATTTAAGGTTTATTGGGATCGGAGATTGAGATTCGTTCGTCAAAATTAGGAAATTCAAAATGGCGGATCCAATATGGCGGACGAGTTTTTGAATCGTGATCAAATTCTGTTAAAAATTGCTATCTGGGAGATTTCGTAGTTGGAGATAATGATTCTTTCGTCAAAATTTGAAATGGTATTTCAGAAAGCGTCAATTTTATTTCAGAATAGACGATTGAATTTCAGAAAGCGTCAATTGTATTTCGGAATATAGACTTTCGAGTTCGACGACATACTGGTTCAACAATATTTGAAAGATCATATCCATCTGTACTGATTGATATCGTTTCAACTATATATATGATGCGGAAGATATCCAGTGCATATTGTTTCAAAGATGACTATCCAAATACATATATCAGCGATTCAATATCCTTCATATTTTATTGGTCATAGAAGAGAAAAACCTTATCGTATTCTCAAGTTCAATTGCACATCGCGGTTGAATAGTTTTTCAGTCATATTCGAATTGGAATATCATACTATGTTGATTGATATATTAGCCTATATCATGTGATCAATATTGTTTACATATTGTTTCGAAGATTCATATCGGCATTTCGATATTTATTTAATATCACTCTCAAACCGATGTCGATAGATGGCGCTATGAATGATTGGTAACGTACTCCCAGTGCCGGTCTGGCAAGAGAATATGAATATTTGCTCGAGGCAATTGAAAAGCATACTCACATGGCGTAGAGACTAACCGCGAATGTTCACATTTTATGTCTTGTCAATATTGGTATGAAGATATTCTATCAATATTTGAAGAGAAGAGAGAACGTAGCAACGTATAATGATTGTCAATGATTCACCAATAATTCCAACTACTACTGCACCAATATTGTCAAATTTCCACTCATCATTTCTCTAAAATATTGATTTTATATTTTGTGACCAATATAACTATCCAACCATGATTAGTGTGGTAATATTTCGACAATGTTTCGAAGACGACATTGCAACATGCTGATTCTCAATATTCCACCCACATTTTGAAACTAATATTGTATCAATATTGCCAAAAGTTCACATTTTGTTCCTCGTCAATATTACGTTCACAATATTTTGCCGATATTTTCGTAATACTGCCCAATATATGTGTGCTACTTGAGAATCAACGCTTTCTCGAATTGAATTGACGCTTTCTGAAATTGAATTGACACTTCCAGAAATGTAAATGAAAAAGGTGTAGTGTTACCAATATGAAATTTTCATTATTTCACGTTTGAATCCTGTAAACAATGAGAGGAATAGTATATTACACACCGAGGTGGGAAGTGATTCATTCCTGTCGTGAGATTAGTTAGTTAATCGAGACGCGAAGCGTCGAGGTTATGCTATAATTTCGAGACAAGAATGAAACTTCCTACCGAGGTTAGTATACTATTTTATTCACAACCATCATATTTCGATCAACATTAATAAATCTATGTTTCGTTCCGAACATACCTGTATTACATGAGTGAGAGCGGGAAGTGAGGGCGAGAAGTTGAGGTGTGTAATGTGACACTTCCCAACCTTCAATGACGTTAGTAATGACAACATTACATACAGGGTGTTTCACAGGTGAAGGTAAATATTTCAATGGTAGATAGGGGTCACCAAGGTGGTTCTGAAAATACCATATTTGATAGGTCTTAGAGTTTTCATAACAGAGATGTCGGAGATACAGGGTGATTTATCGATTTCGAATAATTATTCATTCGTCTATAAGTATTGAACTACCCAGTATATTTTGTGACGTTGAATTCATTCTCTCGTCTCTCATCTATCGGGTGAAGAGAAAATCCAGGTTCGGCTTCAGGAAAAATTCACATTTATTCGAAATATTAAAATAACACACTGTATGTAATAATTGACAGAGTTCATCGAAGGAATCGTAAAGAGGAGGAAAAACTGAACTGGATTTGATGCTTTTTGTTTTCCCGCCACCAATTCTCATCGTAACAAACATAAACAGAAAGCTGGAAGTATGTCAATTTGAAGAGTATTGAAATTATGAAACCAGTGTCAATTATGATTATTCGATATATTTTAGTCTAAAAATCGCTCGAAAGAACTTACTAAGTCTCGCAGTTTCTATAACGGAGATACAGGGTGAATTATCGGTTTTGAATAATTATTCACTCGTCCATAAGTATAAAACTACCCAGTTACATTTTCTAAAATATGGTATGTAGCTTACTTGGGACGATGGATTCATTAACCTATCAGGTGGAATTATAATTCGATAATTCACCCTGTATCTCTGTTATAAAGACTATGAGACTTTTCCTGAAGCTGAACCTGTATATCCATTCTGCCTGATAGGTTAATGAATCCATAGTCCCAAGTATAAGCTCAATACTGAATTTGAGAAAATATTACTGCGATGGGTAGTTTAATACTTATGGACGAGTGAGTAATTCACCCTGTATCTCTGTTATAAAGACTGTGAGACTAAGTAGGTTCTTTCGAACGATCATTTAACAAGAATATATTATCAAATAATCATTATTGAAAGTGGTTTCATAATTTTAATACTCTTGAAATTGACATACTTTTAGCTTTCTGTTTATGATTGTTACGATGAGAATTGGTGGCGGGAAAACAAAAAGCATCAAATCCAGTTCGGTTTTTCCTCCTCTTCACGATTTCTTTGATGAACTTTGTCAATTATTACATTCAGTGTTTTATTTTGATATTTCGAATAAATGTAAATTTTTCCTGGAGCCGAACCTGGATTTTCACTTCGCCCGATAGGTGAATGCATTCAACGTCCCAAGTTTGAGCTCCATACCAAATTTAAGAAAAATATACTGGGTAGTTCAATACTTATAGACGAATGAATGATTATTCGAAATCGATAAATCGCCCTGTATCTCCGTTATGAAAACTCTGAGACCTATCAAATATGGTATTTTCAGAACCACCTTGGTGACCCCTATCTACCATTGAAATAGTTTCCTTCACCTGTGAAACACCCTGTATATGATTGTGAATAAATGTATATTTTTCTCTCTCAATGCTCACTGAACTCATCTATACATCAATTAGTCGACAAGATATCGAGTGTTGTATACCATCCCAGGTCCTCTCCTGAACACCGGCTTCCACTTCAACGTGGGCAACTGGCCGGGTCACGTGGACACCGCGGGCAGCCGCAACGGCACCTGCGATTGGCTGCTGTCCTCGGACAGCCTGCGCGCCTCCGGAGACTCGGAGGGCATCTTCTTGTCGGTGGCGCACTGGTATCCGCCGCACACCAGCTGCACCTACCTCATGCAGGGGGAGGAGGGGGAGATCGTGAGGCTCTATTTCCCAAGGTAGGTTCATTTGGACGATTTGAGACAATCTAGTACAATTTGCCTTGATCTAGTACAATTTGCCTTGATCTAGTACAATTTACTTCGTTCTACCTATGACGGCTAAATATCTGGACTGTCTGACGGGTTATATATGACAATTTGACATAGGGACAACAAATATCAAAGCCACCTCATCAAAAATTGACATTTCTTGAAGTAAACTGTTGTGACAAGTTGATTTTGCTCTTAAAAATGAACCAGTGTTCTTGAAGACATGAACCAAGCGTCAAAATGTAAACAAGGAATGGTGCCTGACGAGAAATTGTATTCTGAAAAAATTTAGCAACGAAATTATTCCACAGGGTCTTTGGAAATCAGGGTTGAACAACAGCCTATCAATTAACCCTGTATAATGACTAATACGCTAGCATCCAACAGAAGATTATGGAGTGTAGAACAATTCACCTTGACCTAGTACAATGTTCCTTGATCTAGTACAATTCACTCTGATCTAGTACAATTCACGTAAATCAGTACAATTTACCTTGAACTATTACAATATGCTGTGATCTAGTACAATCCACTCGATGTTTATATAGAGTTCATTGGCAAGAAGTGGAGAAAAGGGTTGTGCGACTCAATAGAGACGTCATTGAACAGCTGATGAGGACATGCATAAAAGTTTCCCATGAGGCTACATGAAACTTGCTTGCAAATTTTCTACTATGGAACCAATTCTCCATGAAGGCGACATGTAACTTTCTGGCACATTTCCCACTATAATACAATACAATCTCCTACAACTGTTGAAAAACTGCAAGATTTCAATATATTTTGTGTGCCCGAAGTGTACAATTTTTCAAAACCAGAATGCTGTTTCACTATTTTACAGAAAACTGTGAAGAAAAGTACTCTTTTTTTCGTAATTTTTGTTCTAACATACTTGTTTGTACGACGAACAAAACAGACCACTAACAATAAAGCTCCTTTACGGGATTCAGCAAGGCAGCAAGGGAACAAATCAAGGCAGCTGACTTCGTGAGGTGCCACGAACAGGATAGAGTTTCCAATACACCCTGTATAGGGCGACCACTGTAAATCCTTGACATTATACGACGTCTCGTGGCCCGATGACTCCAAAATCATCAGAACAAGGGTTCTGACCATACGAGGGATGTTTGAGTTCCTTTCCTAGAAATGTCCCGGAACCCATAAAAGGGTGACAGTATTCCTATCGGCTAGCTAGTCCAACCCATAAAAAAGTGACTGTAGTTCTATTGTCTAGCTCTTCAAGAGACTTGTGCGAGCATGGAATAATGGGAGCTTCACCTTCCAACCTGTGATCCCAAACACTTTCTTGGGCCATCAGGAGAATGTCTGCATAGCGATTAGAAAACTAACGCTCCTACCTGGCCTGACTACCAGACATGATAATGATATCTCGTCTGGCTACTTTGTGTTTAGTGTCAGGATATACAGGATAAAGTCTTCCATCCACCCTGTAGAGGGTGACTTTGCGAATCCTTGACATTGTACGACGTCTCGTGGCCCCATGACTCCAAAATCATCAAACGAAGGGTTCTGGACCTATAAAGGATGTTTGAGCTCCTTTCCTAGGAATGTCCCAGAACCCATAGAAGGGTGCCTGTAGTTCTATTGACTAGCTCGTCCAGTTTTTCTGACATTCCAAACCATTCAAGAGCTGATAACCATAGAGCTCAGCTTATTGATAGCTGCTTGACTAAACTTCGTTCTCAATTTTGTCTAACCGTCATTTGGTTGCCCTCTTACGAAAAGTATTCAAGAGACTTGTGCGAGCATAGAATAATGGGAGCTTGACCTTCCAACGTGTGATCCCAAACACTCTCTTGTGCCATCAGAAAAATGTCTGCATAGCGATTAGAGAACTAACGCTTATTCTAAAAACATTTTCACAATACAAGGTGTATGAACAAAAATCTTTTGAAGGGGTCATTGGACAAATGATGAGAATGTGAAACATACAATGTAGAATTCTTAGATATACGCCACAGAATTATCCTCCAAGTCGCCAATAATTTTTGTCTAACAACCCTGATGACAGTCATGAAGAAGCTGACTCCTAGGAGTATACCTGTTATGGATAAGTAAGTATTGACCAGAAATTGGCTTTATTCAACAAAATACAGCATGACATGTGATATGACATGAATAGATAACTAATCGAAGTAACAGGACAAATGATGAACTTCGGAAATACGGTGTGTTAACTAAATATTATATCAAACAAGAAATGATCATCACAATACCTTCGATCCAGCTCATGTAGTGAGTTGCCTAAGGCAGAAAAGATTCATCGTCGATTGCTACCTTGCTAATTCAGCATTCTTGTGTTGGGAAATGAGAATAATAAACCAACTTTTGAAAATTCTCTGTGAAAGAGTCTCTACTATGCAGAAATGATAATATCTCGTCTGAATTTCTTGTGTTTAGTTTCAGGATAAGCATGATAGAGTCTCTGATCCACCTTGTAGAGGGCGACTGCGGCGAATCCTTGATATTATACGACGCCTCGTGGCCCGATGACTTCAAAATCATGTTTTGTTTTCCTAAGATTGACCCGGGACCGAAAGAAGGGTCCCTGTATTTCTATTGGCTAGCTTGTCCAGTTTTTCCAGAGATTCCCAAGGGGAACGCATAGAAGAGTGACTGTAGTCCTTTTGGCTAGCTCGTCTAGTTTTTTTTTGGCATTCCCAAACCATTCAAAAGCTTATACCATAGAATTCAGCGCATTAATAGCTGCTTAACTATACTTTGTTCTCAAATTTGTCTATCCGTCATTCGGTTGGCCCCTTACGAGCAACCCTATGAAGTCTTCACCAGACTTGTGCGAGCAAACACTTTCTTGAGCCACCAGAAAAATGTCTGCATAGCGATTAGAAAACTAATGCTTCTTCAACGTGGCTATCTGTCCGGACTATCAGACATGATAATGATATCTCGTCTGACTTTCTTGTGTTTAGTTTCAGGATAAACAGGATAGAGTCTCCGATCCACCCTGTAGAGGGCGACTGTGGCGAGTCCTTGACGCTATACGACGCCTCGTGGCCCGATGACTCAAAAATCATCAAAACTTTCTGTGATACTTTCTCCAAGGCGATGGAGAAACACGACTTCGTCTCCACGGGAAACTCTCTCTTCGTCAGATTCGAGAGCAAGACTGGAAGTTACAGTGGGTGAGTTGGCCATGACAAAGATAATAAACACTCTAGGTAGACAACACCTGTTCAAAAATTGGCAACGTTTCGGTCAGAGTGCCTCGAACATCTCATTACACGCTCTTTGAATAAATTAATCAATTTATTTGATTCCAAAAAACTACAGTTTTCATATTGTCCAGAAGTTCAAATGCCTATGGAATAACATCACTGAAACTCGCGTTCATTTCAAGATCTCAATATAAATAAACTTTTCCAAATTGAAACGTCCAGTACAGTGTAGTTTCGATCAGGTCAGCGAAGTTCATAGACGTCAGTTCCTGTAGAATTTGCAAAAACCGCTTACCGTGCGATAATACCTAGGTAAGCAATATCGAAACGTGATGGCCATTCTCATCACGGAAAATTGCAAACCTAGCATCGATTCTGAATATAAATAGTACCCGAGTCGATAAGGCATCATTATTATTAATACAAGTCATTAGTAATTATTATCAATTAGAAAATGGTCGCCGTCTCCCAGACTTCTATCCTGCTGGTCAACCCCATGCTAGACGTGAGTAGGTACTGTTTTTCACAAGTGTTGTTTATCGTTGTGTCTCATTTGCTAACCTGCCAATCAATAAATGTCAAAGGACCCCGCACAAAACCATAGAGAATTGGCCCACAGTCGGATTTGCCTGAAATCCACATATGTTATTGGTATGGAGTTTCTGATCAAATGTTTTCATGTGACCAATCCTCTAAGACCAAAGATTCAGCTCTCAGAGCCGTATTCAGTATCGGTGCCAAATAAACAATGACACTTTTTTTTTCAAGCCCATGATTTTTGTATCTCCCATAATAATTCAATTGAATGAGAAATGTTGCGAAATCTTGGCATTTGTCTTTTAGCACAAGTCCTCTGTAAAACATGCCTTGTATTTGCCAAAGTGCCGAATCGAATTGATTTTGTTATTACTTTCTTATTTCTTGTCCTATTTCAGTGGTCGTTTGAGAGATGAATGTAGATTTCTTCGTGTACATAACAAAAGTGGTCACCATCTTAATATTCAAGATGGTCGGTCTAACATTTAATCTTTATGTAGGACATATCTCGTAGCTTTTTTGGAATCATAGTAACAGGAAAAGATAAGAACACGTTTCGATTGTTGAAATCGGTCATTTACTTTTTCAATACACTCCGCATGAAAACCAGACGAGAATAATGAAGAAGATGTATTGATAATAGGATACTACTGCAGTTGCAAATCAGGGGCAAGATGCCGCAAATCGTCCAGTGCAAGATGCAATACTCCAGCAGCTGTGTTCGGGAATTATGTTGATAGTGAGTGCTCGACTTTTTTGTTCACCACCCTGTAAATATCGGTTTCAACTTTGTTAGTAATGAATTAGGTGAATTTTAGAACAATTTTAGGTAATTTAAAAAGTAAATGACCGATTTCAACAATCGAAACGTGTTCTTACCTTTTCCTGTTACTATGATTCCTAAAAAGCTACGAGATATGTCCTACATAAAGATTAAATGTTAGGCCGACCATCTTGAATATTAAGATGGTGACCACTTTTGTTATGTGCACAAAGAAATCTACATTCATCTATCAAACAACCACTGAAATAGACAAGAAATGAGAAAGTAATAACAAAATCAATTCGATTCGGCACTTTGGCAAATACAGTTTTACTAAATACGGTCCTGTAGGACAATGCATGTTTTAGAGAGGACTTGTGCTAAAAGACAAATGCCAAGATTTCGCAACATTTCTCATTCAATTAAATTATAATGGGAGATACAAAAATCATGGGCTTGGAAAAAAAATTGTCATTGTTTATTTGGCACCTATACTAAATACGGCCCTGAGAGCTGAATCTTTGGTCTAAGAGGATTGGTCACATGAAGACATTTGATCAGAAACTTCATACCAATAACATAGGTGGATTTCACGCAAATCCCACTGTGGGCCAATTTCCTATGGTTTTGTGCGGGGTCCTTTTAGGTATATAAAAACTGTCTTGACTCTTCATTTGGGGATGAATGTGGTTGGATGATGAAATGATCAAAACCTCTCGTCAAACAGCCAAGCGAGTAGCTAAGTTACGACCTATAGGAGGGTCAACATCTGAGTTGCGACAATATCAGAGAATTTGAACTGCAATATGTTAATACCTAATTAATACAGAGAAAGAGGAAAAAATAATGGAAAACAGAATTTAACAAGCCATTGAGTAAGCTTTATGCAGAAAACAAGTTGCTGATACAGTATGATTTCATTTGTTCACAATAAAAGACACTACGCACTGTTTGACCACTAACCAAACAGATTTTTTACTCCCTGACACGTGTTTCGCTAACTATTATTTCTTCAATATTTATTGAAAATCAAATAGGACAATGACAGACGATAGGATCCAAAATATTATCCACTGAGACAGTAAGTAATATGGTGAACAGATCGAGCATATTCGATTTTTTTTATGTTCTGGTTCCCACGAGAAGGGATATCCTGTAGTAAAGTAGGAATTGGTGTTCTTCATGAATTTCTGAATGTTATATGCCTCGGGGAACACCTCCCTTGGCAATGTGTTCCAAAGCCTCGCTGTTCGTTGGATGAACAAGTCATTGGAAAGAGATGTTCTGCAGGTCTCCAAAGTGAAGCCTCAACTCGACAGGTTAATTTCGCGGGGACTGCCAAGGAAGGAACAATTGTTGATATTCCAGAAAAGAATCGTCCATGAAAATATCTTTAAAATAGAGCCAGACCGCCCAACTTCTCTACGGTGTTCCAGAGAAGTGGTTTGTGAGCGAGGCATCACCCACGAGACGAAGTGCCCTTTTTTGGACCGAATCCAACAGTTTCAGGGTATGTTTGGGTGATGCACTCCATATATCGGAACAGTATTCCAGGACAGGTCGGATCAGTGCCCTATAGATCATAAGCAGCTGACTAGAAGTGAAATAGCTCCTGGCTCGAAACAGAAAACCAAGTTTTTGGGATGCACTTTTGGCAATTGATCTCACGTGATTTTCCCAAGAAAGGTTATTGCTGATAGTAATACCAGTGACATCGGCTTTTCTAGAGAAGAGGCATGCTTGTGTTTTGTTTGCATTGAAATCTACCAAGTTATTGGATCCCCATTCGAGAATTGTTGCCAAGTCCATATTTATGTTGTCAACATTTCTCTCTTGGTCGTTTCTGATTTCTCCACACATGTGATTTTTCCCATTTTAGATAACCTACTTTATCCAATAATTATTTTCGTTCAAAAATCTTCAAATCGTGTGACAAAGATTTTTTGACATTTCAATTAATTTGAGTCAAACAGGCAAGAATCACGTCACATCAAACAAATTTGATCAAATTTTTGGACCGTGAGACATGGCCTTTACGTCCCAACTGAGCGTTGCCCATTCTTACATCTACGGTGTCTATCTAGAGTGTGTATTATATTTGCTATGACGAAGCGTTTCGCGACGAAAAGTTGAATTACGCGGAGAGTTACGTGTGTCTTCATTATGTCGCCGGAAGTTTTAGAATCGTAAATTTCCATCAAAACGGTCTATGTGGCCTCTGCATAAACTATGTGAGTTGTTTGAGTCCCTGTACTAATGGACCGTTAGAGATGATGAAGGCCGTTTAACTAAAACTAAAGGGTGTATATATGAAATTCCAACATTTTAGTGGGATTATGACATCTGACATTATGTATCTACTTGCTGAATCGGAAGTTGGCGTTTGTACTCAATCAAAACTTTCGAATGCAATAGGTCGCGTGCAAGAACTGTCAGATGACCGACCCTGGAGGCAAAACATATTTGTTTACAAGTGATCCAAATAGTTTTCCACAATTATTTTGGCATATGAATCGTATTTTTCCGCTATTCATCAATTCGCTAATGCCATCACATTGTGCTGTTGTAAAATGCACAAAAACTGCAGCGGAAGATGAAGAAATCCGGATGGTACATTATGATTCAAAAGTAAGTACCTACTATAGTCACTCACATAGTTTTCATTTTTGAAATTTGGTTATTTCTCTGATTTCTCATCGGAATTCCTTCTGCAATAGGATCAGCTAATAGATTCATGCAATCAATCGGTAGGACTGGTCTGATATGCTGACGATCGTGTGTGCTGTAGACATTTTCAATCTATTAGCAGCATTAGCTTGTATTGCAGAAGTGGCAGAAGGCAGAAGGAATTTTAATAAGGAATGACAACATTTCATAATGCTAACTATGTGAGATTACTATTTACCTGAAAAATTATATTCCCTAGTCTCTTGCTGCATTTTTTGTGCATTGTACAACAGCACAATGCGAAGGCATGCTTGAATTAATGAATAACGCAAGAAACACGATTCGTATGCCAAAATATTGTGAAAAACTATTTCAACCTTTTGATTCTTCTGTAACCAAATAAAAAAGTGAGGTTGTGTTTCAATAATTCACAGAAGAATGAGGTTGTGTTTCAATATTTTGCCTCCAGGGTCGGTCTTCGTGCACGCGACCTATTACACAATAAACAAATGCCATCCTAGAAAAACCTATTTTTTCACGAAAATTTGCCTCATTTACAGTTGCAACGCGCTTTGTATTTATTTACGTATCCATGTTTCGTTCTTTAGCAGAGAAGTGAACTCTTTTCTAACTGCCCTCTTTCATTCTTCTGAATGATTTCCAGATAACGCCTCTGTCATTGATAGTTGAATATTTTTTTTATCGCTTGGAGCGCACGAAAGGGAATCCCTATAATGTTCAAAGAACATCGTGCGTTCCTAGGGAGGATAGGGATAGCAGGTAGGTTATTGAATTTTTTTTGAACTTCTGGAGATTATATGTTGTTGGGAATACCTCCTCAGGCAATGAATTCCAGAGCCTAGCCGTTCTATGGATGAAGTAGTTTCGATAAAGTGCTGTTCGACATCTTTCGAGGTTGACAACGAAAGGATGTGCTGACTGGGCTTGTCTAGTTCGTCTGACTGGTATTGCTAGTGAAGGGATGATAGCAGAGATTTCT